CGCCGCTCTTCATAACCGCCGCCGCCGCTAATCGTAGTTGCCGCCGTCGCTAATCGTAGTCGCCACCGTCGCTAATCGTAGTTGCCGCCGTCGATCGAAGAAATATTGATGCAGAGCCGCAGAGGAATGGTGATGAGGATGTTTGTGCACAACTGGCCGGCAAGGATGAGGATGTAGCCTCTGGTGCGTAAAAGACAATGGGGCAGGGATAGAAATTAGGGGTTAGGAGCTGGGCCATTTGAGACATTTTAATTTAGGTTTAGTTAGTTTTTTGTCCAAAATGGTAATTAAGTGTTCACAGAATTGTCTACGGAAGACTAGGCAGTCTCCTTTTAGTCATTCTTTCATTAAATAGTGATTGTTGACTGGAGAATTAATGGCATTCAAGGCATCAACTAATAACTTAATTTTCGGGAGATACTCATCAATGGTCTGAGATTCTTTCTTTTTAATATGAGACAAAAGCCGCTTAAGTTCCATAGACCGAGCCAGACATGCAGACATAAAATTTGTCTTAAGGCATTCTCAAATACGAGCAGAAAATTTAAAATCATACACCTGCATTAAAATGTCATGTGATAAAGTAACAAACAACCAGGATCACACAGTCTTATCAATCTTAAGCTAGTGATGATACTCAGGATTGGGGATCTCTCGTATAGTAAGATCGTGCGTTTAGTGTGGCGGTGCTAGAAAAGACTCAAATTGGATTCACCATGTGAGATAATCCTCAACCGCATTTAATCGAGTAGTGACAATATTCGTGTCATTGGGTGTTGTGAAACCCAATTGGGCAGCGAGGGAAGCCGAAAAAGGAATAGATTAAAAACCTGGAAAGTGCATGGCTGGTTGCTGCGGCAGAGGAGCAACGCCCAGTTGGCCTAAAAAAGTAGAACCGGAGAAATCGGGCGGCGGTGAGTGTTGTTGGTATGAGGCAGAATGATTTCTGGGTGGAGAGATATAGGCCTTCGAAGATGAAGGTGCCACAAAGATAGATTGAGTTGGATACCACTACATAAAAGGCTCTCAAATGTTGAACAAGCGGTAAGAGGACAATGACGGTGGTGGAAGAAAGATGACGGACGAGAGGCATTGATGGGTAACAACCGGTGAAGACAGAGAATAGGACATGTTCTGCTCCGTGTGGACGACGGGCACCATTGACATCACAGGGTTGGCAGAGGACATCATAGAGGCGGACATTAGCGGCTCGGTGAAGACCGGCATTGTGGTGGTCACGCCGATGGCTGAAGAAGGGTAAGCAGACGAAGAGGCCATCGAGGAAGAAAAATGATGACTGTGTACTAGGGTAACCTAGGCTGTTGATATCATTTGCAATAATAATTATGGGAATGATAGCTCACCGTATTATATGGTTAACATAATTCACTATTCCAATTGACAAAAAAATGATTTTATTGATAAAAAAATTCCACCACATTTTTTTATTCGTGACATTGCACATTTTCTGTTTCACAAAATGCAGAATTTCTAAATTTAACGCTCTAGATATATTCTTATATCATGTTATCATTATATCCAAACTCTATATTTTTAATTGTTTGCTAGTTTGGAGTATAACTTAATCAAAATTGTCTTCACTGTTCAGCCTAAGATATATGTGCGCCTTGTTAACACTCCTAGTGACCACTGAGTGGAGTACCTAATTCAAAAATATAATTTTCAATATCATACATGATCTCCTTTCCTTGACTAGCATTCTTTTGTTCATGAGAGAGGAATAACTCATTTTTTTCCATCATTTGAAATGGAGTCAAAGACACTATTATTTTAGCTTTAGAATATGATGAAATAAAGACAAATGGCTCACTAAATTGTCTGGGTCGTCCATGCAATTTTGGATGCGATTTTCATTATTGGTCATCTGAAAATAGATTCTATATGCTTTAGTATAGGAGTAAGACTGCGTACATTCGACTCACTCCCCCCTCATATCCCACCATAGGTGGGGGTGCCTTTGCGGCACTAGGATAATGATGATGATGTTTAATCATAATTGTCATTACGTCACTTAGGCAACGATTAGCCTGAAAGCGTCAGACATCGAATGGCATCACTTAGGGAGTGTTTGCAACAACTTAAAAAAAAAAGCATTTCTCAACTTTTGCCTTAAAAAGCACTTATTTACCAAACACAACCAATTTTTATTTTCTCTCGGCTTGCGTGTGAAAAGTGTTTTTCCTTTTTCTATTACACAAAAAGCACTTATTTTACTAAACACTACCAACTTTTACTTTTCAAAATCACTTTTTTCTCAAACACTATCAACTTTTACTACTAATCACTTTTTCCTTACATCTCCAAAAGTACTTTTTTTAGCAGAAGCAGTTGCAAACACTCCCTTAGTAGTCTACTGCACATTCGTAAGGAAGCCTAGCCTAATTGCCCAGATTTGAATTCTTGCCCAAGTTTGCATTTTCTTTTTAACTTTTCTTCTTTCTTCCCCTTCCTTGTTCTTCATTTTCATTTATTTATTCATTTATTTATTTTGTACTTACTTTTTTCCTTGATGGTTGTTTTCCATTTCCATAAAAATCAACATTACTTTTTATTTATGAACTTTTGTAGTTTCATTAAAAGAATAGACATTAGACTGTTGTAGTTACTGCATATATTTACTTGTTAGCCCAATTATCACCTAAAGGGTCGCCTAGTCATATAGGCTACAAGGCAGTAGGAAGTAGGAACTGGTCCCGTCCCCTGTGCCTCGCAAAGCCGCTGGGACAATCTAGGTTCAAATTAACTGAGTATATTTATTTTTGTTGTTGTATAGATAAAAATGAGTGGCAGAGATGAGTATGTTGCATTGGATGTGTGGAAATTACAAATAAAAATCGCTTGAGAAATGAGAGTCAGACAAAATGTGGGAGTAGCACCTATTGAAAAAAAGATGTAGGAATTTCGCTTGTAATGGTTTGGTCATGTGAGTAGAAGACCAAGTGATGCATTAGACAAGTTGAGAGGCAGGGAGAAGAGATGGAGAGGAAGAGCCAAACAGCCTTGGATGAGAGGAATCAGAATTGATATGCTTCTTCTAAAGTTGAATAAGAATATGACTTTGAAGAAACTGTAGTGCATGACACATATTCATGGGAATGGTTGATCTCTTTTCTCTCTTTTGTCTCTCCCTTTCATCATCATCATCAAGGTTTTGAAAGGCGAAATCGAGCCTCGAGGCGTAACGAGCCGTAAGCCTCAAAATTAATTGCTTAAATGTTGCTACAAGCCTACAACATATCATTTAGTATAGACAAAATCTTGTTTCTAATTAAATTAAATTATCTTGAGCCAAGTAAAGTAGTAAACTAGTAAAGTACGTAATATTAAACGAATAAATTACTAAGCTAAGTGATAGTTTTATATGATAACTTTAAAGTTTAAACTTTAGGCTAATACAAAGTAATATATACGGTAATAATATTAAAACTGGGAAAGATTAGAAACACAAAACTCAAACTTTTAAATAACTAAAAACTTAAACAAAAAACTCAAAAACTTAATTAAATGTTTCAAAACTTAATTAAAAACAGACAACGATTAGACTGTAGCCTGATATTGTGGCAGAATAAACATTAAATACTTCAAAACTGAACTTTTAAATAGCTAAAAACTTAAATAAAAAACTTAAATAACAAACGCAAATACACAATAAGAAACTAGGCGGTGGAATATTTTATACGAGTAACTACATGGAGTTCTGGACGAAGCAGGGAAGCAGCTCGGAAGTCCTTCCTCTTCGACTGGAATAGCAGCGATGTGCGAGGACCTAAGCGCTAGGTGATAAATGAGTGACCCAGGTTTTTTGTAATTTAGACTTAGGATGAAAACAAATTGAAGCCCCTAATAATTAGAAAAAATAAGCCCAAGTTGCTTCTAATTAGAGGTGTACGCCTCGTCTAAGCCTTGCGCTTACCGCCCAATTCTACGCATCAGGAAAAAAGGGCGTAAGCCTTGTTACGGGAATGGAAGGCTTAAGCCTTACGTGCGATTGAACAGCGCCTTTGCGCTTTTGCGTCTCAGGGGCGTAAAGGCTAAACGCCTTTTAAAACCATTATCATCATCATTACTCCAATGTCGCAAAGGCTCCCACCAACAGTGGGGTAAGGGGGTCGGATGTACACGGTCTTACCCTTGTACTAAAGCCCAGAGAGATTGTTTCTGAATGACCCATGGTGATAAACGCGTCTAAATTGCACGGACTAGTTGATGATTCATAACAAAGAAGCGCAAACAGTTTAGTCAGTCATTTTGCTTTATTTCATCATATTCCCAAGTCAAAAAATAGCGAGTCTTTGGCTTCATTGGAAATGATGGAAATATCTCTCTTTCTTATGAAAAATTCTATTTGTACACGAAATTTATACACATTTGACACACATTTGTAAGCATGTTATTATTTGTGCACACAGACAATGAGTGCGCCCCTAATTGCATGAGTACACATGTAGCTCGTGCGGCAATTGTTTATGTACACAGACAATGACGTACAAATGTGTGACAAGTGTGTACAAATTTTGTGTACACCAAGAATTGTTATTTTCTTTTATCTGTTATCTTCTTTTTCATTTAATATTTTTATGTTATGTTTATCTTTTATCTTATATTATTTTATCTTTTTATTTTTTATTTTTCTTATATCATATTTATCTTTATCTTATCCATTTTTTCTTATCTTTTTTCTCTTTTTAGCTTTGATATCATGAATTGATTCATTTTAGTCGACCCCAAAAATTTTTTGCAATAAGACTTAAATGTTGTTGTATAGGCAAAGAAATGTGAATGTATGTCAAAATTTTAATCATTAGAAGTTTCACAAATTTTTATTTTCCTTTCACTAGCATTTTCTGTGTTCCATACATAGTCTTAGCCCTCAAGTACAAGGACATTTCCTAGCATATTCTATCCATTCAACAACCAATAAATTTTTCTTCCCATTCATCAACCAACAGATTTGCGGACTTTGAGTTAACAATGACCCGTGGGGAATAAAATACAAGTTCTCATATTTATGTGCATCAAAATGGTGGCATACAGAGTTCTTACTATCCTTTCTTTACAGATTTAGCTTCAAAAGTAAATTGCACTAATTATAAATAACATCCTCAACAAATTACTTTTTACAATTGAACTTGCTAATAAATCAAAACTAACCTAACCTAAGGCTGGCCTTCCTGTGAAGATATCTATGCCTCACCAACCGCTTGAAAGGAAATAAAAAAGGACGGTGCAACGCCTTCTTGCGGCCTTTTCTCCCTGCACGTATACAATGGCATATTAATTTAGATGTTTCGGGGTAAAAAAATGGTAAATAAAAACACTTCAAAAAGAACCTCTTTTATAATAACTTCAATTTTATCTTGTATTCTTGTCATGATTGAAGGATTGATATACCTGAAGGAGATGGCGTCTGGATTTGTACAGCTTCCATTAGTTCAGTTTCAGCAGCTTTGCACTCATTCTTGTTTTGCATGGGATTATTATTAGAATTAGGCATATGCAATTCATTAACTGGATTTACAGAACTATCCCTAATTTCTTCTGTCTCAACCAAATCATCTATTGTATCCACATTATGACACACCAAAGATGGTCCCTTCTCACTGAGGTCCTTCGTATCCTTCAAAATTTCATCAACAGCAGCACTTCGTGAATGAAGACCAGCATCAAGAATAGCTGGGATCAGAGACTCTTCAGCATGTGAAGTATTTGAGTTATCAGAATTCTCTAGTGGGAGTGGTGCTGGAACATTAATTTTAGCAGAGGTGAGATCAGAGTGATGTGAAGATATAACAGCATCCACTAACGAATTGGAAATGGTTGTTGTGTTATCTGGTAATAAGGTTTGTTGTCCTTCAGATTTAGATAGGTCACTTTCCAAATTCAGTTCATGCACTCCACTGTCAGAAGATATTCTCCCAGAAAGCATATGCAGAAGCTTTGGTTCTAAGTTACTTGAAGATATCACATCTCGTATCTCGAGACCGTGTGAGGGAAGGCCATTCATAGCAGAGGTTAAATCTATGGGCTTAACAATTTGTGATACATCGCTGGAATCTGAGAATAATTTATCAATGTCATCTAGTAACAAATCTCCATCACCACTTGAGATAGGGTCCCATTTAAGCCAATCGTCAAATTTGGATTCGACTGAATGGGCAGAAGGTATTGCTTCAACCTTGATGGCTTCCTTGTAATACAGCTTCTTTCTTAAAGAATTTTCCATAAGAGTTCTGCCATATATAGATGTCTTAAAGACACACATTAAATAGAAAACTTCATGGAGAAGGGCATGGGTCATGAGTGTGGTGAGACTACTTATTTAGTTAAAGGTTAACTTATACTATTTATTTTTGGCATACTAACCAGATTTTTTACCAGACTACTTTCTTGATTGCGTGAACTAAGTTGGTTAATAGTGAGAATACTAAGGTTACAAGTATTTTTTAGGCTGAATTGACTGAAGATCATTTTAGCCTCTTGCATAGTTGCATATAATTATTTTTAATTTACTAATAATTTTAGGAAAAAATCCCGGAATAGGGGTAAAAACAATGTAAAATTCCAAAATATGAGTACGTTAAACACAGCAGTATGCTGCCATATTGGCGGTATTTTCCAAGCATGACAGTAATTACTCCCTATTTAGAGAATAAAAACATAATGCTCCTAGTTTAGGAATTCCATAAAGTTTTATGGCTATTTAGGGAAATTGCTTGCAACTTATTTTCGATGCAATTTTTCATAAGCACATTCAATCAAATCAGCCACAATTTTAGCAACTTTAGTCAATTCAACCAATTCATTTTGATCTTACAAACGGCGTCTTACTAGGCACTAGCAATAGCAATATAGAAAAAGTACAAATTACAAGATAATAGAAAAATAGCTCGAATATAACAAGAAATGAGGGCATAAGTGTAATAAAAATCAAAGAGATGCCTGAATGTAGCATAACCTAAAGCCCAAAGAGTTTAACACTAACATTCTCAATGACATTACTGCCATGTCAGCATGGCAGAAAAAAAACTAACCCAATATTTTAGTAGGCCACAAATCAAATGAAGTTATCTCGGATTACCAAGATCAGATTCTGGACAGTATGTAACATCACTCCAAACCGATGACCCTAGCAGTAAAGGTAGAAGCTTATAATACTCAGTAGTTGATTGTTCATTACCTGCAGTTTTTGGAAATGGCTGCCTTAGCATGTTCAGAGGAGAGACCTAGCAGGAATGCCAGATTCACTATATCATATGGCCCTCTGAATTCAGTTACAGAAGGAGCAGAACTCGTCAGAATAATATTTCTCCCTCTTGTCCAATCGACCAATAGCTGAAAGTTCAAATTAAGGAGTACTTAATATCAGAAAAGTCACAAGTATTGTGAGTACATGCTGTAGAGAACTCTGTTATTTTTCTCTAACTTCGGATTGCAATTAGCACAGCTTGCATCACCGACCTTGGCATTAGATATCATCTGCCTCCTTGCTTGAGCATCAATGAGAAGACTTGAGTAAGTTATCTCAAAATACACTCCTCGCTAAAGACAATAAGAGAACAAAGCTCGTCAAAGGTCCAATTATAGTAATAAGTTGTGAGAACTCACTGCTTGGCAATTTTAATTGGAATGTAGTGTACAGTGTCTACTGGTCTGTGTTGTTTCTGTGTCCCGTTTCTTTCCCTAGGATTTTCAGTATCCCAAACAAACCCTTAAGGTACTTGATATGAAGGGTGCACACACACTGACACAGAAAGGCCCAGTGTATTTTAAGAAAGGGTGCACACCATTCTGGTATTTAAGAAAAGCCCAGTGTATTTTATTTAATAAAAGGCCCATACATAAAACGTGTGTCCATAGTCCACACTAAACCCATAACAAGTCTTGTTTCATTTAAAATATTCATCAATCGTTAAAAATGTTTGCAAACTTTTTAAACCTTGATACCTGAACTAGCATTTTTAAACCTTGATGCCACTATATAAGAACTAATATATCTAGAACATCTAAAGTATTTATAAATAATAATGATTAATCATGTTTCGTTCTTCTTGCATTTAATGCGGTAGAACCAGACACAAGAAAATGGCTTTTCACAGCCAGTTTTCCAACCCCTTGCATTTTTCAAGATCCACGTATACCCTACATATACCTAGTTTCATAATATCACAATTCCATTTACAATGAACACAATGGCACCACCGATTTGAACTTTGAACTAAATTTACTGCACCCTGCTTTGAAACTTTATTCAGAATATTGTGGGCACTACAACTAAAATATTATCTGCTACTACTTGAAGGCATAATCAAGCCCCAAAAAACTTGGACGCAAGTGGAACTATTTTCAGGCTTACAAAACCATATTCTTTAAAACATTGAAACGCTAAAAAAAAAGCCATGTATCATGGTCATAGGGCCATTCCTACACAAATACTACGGATGTATTAATGATTGTAATAAACCAAGAATACAACTTTTGATGTTATACTCAGATATGAAGAACTGAGAATAGCTTATGGTTTCTGGGCAAAAATTACAAAGTAACATTTACTCTCTTTTTCCTAGAATCCTTGTTGATCTAGATTTTATTTGATATTTTGGTAGGCCTGGATTTGAATACCTGGACTGCAGCCTGGACCATGGGTTGCTTCAGCCTAAATAGCATCTTTCTGGAGAAGTCAATGGTAATAATATCCACCTACAGAATCATAGTATGATACGCCATATGAACATGAACGATATCAGTCATTAAATGCACACAAGTTCAAACTTGATGGTATAGGAAAATGTATAATATCGTGGTTAAAAATTCATCTTGAGATCAGTTGAAGCAAACATCTTTACGCATATAAGTCATAATTTAGCCAAACCTCGGAAATCTGGCAAGCTTGGTCGAAAGCATTCTGATTGAGCGGCAATACCGCGACGACGTTGTAGCTCTTCGTAATTGGGTTCCCGGAATTGAGAACAGAGGCTTGAGCAGGGCTATCGACCGTTACAGTCAAGCGAGTGTACTGGCGAAAGGGAGAGGAGATGGGGACGTTTAGGAGGCCGCGGTGGAGCTTGGCAGCAGAGGAGATAGAAGGAGAGAGCTTGAGAATGGATGAAAGAGGGAAGAGAGGAATGGAGCAACGATCCGATTCGGACATGACTCCCTTGATCGTGCGGTTGTAGGCCACTCCAGTGTAGCCCAGCTCCATGGCCTTGATAATGAGCTTGAGGCGCATGGCCTTCGCCGACTTCTTGTCGGAGATATGGCGGTCGGACTCAACATACGGGATATTCAGGTCGAAGAACCCCATAGCTCAGGGGGGTCGGAGAATGCTCAACGGGAAGTGTGAATCAGACCGCCGGAATGGCGGTGAAGGGTTCTGAGGAGGTTTTGGGTCACGCGGGCCTCCAGTGTGTCGAACTTGTAGTATAGTACACTGTTTTTTTCAAGCCCATATTCTGTGATGTACTTCGTACATTTGAGCAAATGATAAATACAGAACCTAATAATATTTTGTTAAAATTAAATTAAAAGGGGTTAGGACAAGAATATAACTATAAATTAAAAAATGAACAAAAAAAGACATTTTTCTAATTTTCTAATTTGAGATAATAAAAAAAAGGGAAAAGTACATAAAATGTATCTGTGGTTTGGGCCAGATAGGGGCATGTGTTTCATTTTCTAACAAAGTAGGGCATGTGTTTCAATTCCGTTATCATAGCAGGGGCATGGCCTCTAACGCCGTTAGAAAAATTAACCCCGATTTTAAAAAGTCTCCGAAAAATTAAAAGAAAAATACCGGGAGGTGCGACTCGTCAAGGAGATCAACAAACTATCTTTATTTTTTTGTTTCCTGCCACCATATCTCCAGAAAGTCCACCAGAAAATTGATATTAGTGAATTTGTTTTTAAAAAATAATCCAAATAAAGCCGAAAAATCCAAAGAGAAAGATAGTTTGTTGATCTCCTTGACGAGGCGCACCTCCCAGTATTTTTCTTTTAATTTTTCGGAGACTTTTTAAAATCGGAGTTAATTTTTCTAACGGCGTTAGACGCCGTGCCCCTGCTATGATAACGGAATTGAAACACATGCCCCACTTTGTCAGAAAATGAAACACATGCCCCTATCTGAAAATGGCCCAAACCACAGGTACGTTTTCTGTACTTTTCCCTAAAAAAAAAGACTAAGAGAATCATTACACTCTTATTAAATCCAACTGACCCGCTATAGTGACCAACACCCCAGTTACAGTGTCATTGACGGTAGTGAAGGGTTCTGAGGAGGTTTTGGGTTACGCGGGCCTCCAGTGTGTTGAACTTTGTGGCCAGGCCTAATCACCCGAGTACACTGTGTTTTTTTAAGCCCATATTCTGTGATGTATACATTTGAGCAAATGATAAACACAAAACCGAATACAGCAATGCTTGTTGTACCCACTCTTATACACACCTTATACCCATCATGTTTGTGAATGTTTTTTTTTTGTCTGTGAACCCAATTCACAGACAATATTTTGTTTGTGCAAAATATTGTCTGTGAGCCGGGATTCACAGACAAAAAAAAATCTTCACAAACATAGGTGGGTACAAATGTGGATATAAGAGTGGGTACAAAGATCATTTTTGAACCGAATAATATTTTGTTAAAATTAAATTAAAAGGGGTTAGGACAAGAATATAACTATAAATTAAAAAATGAACAAAAAAAGACATTTTTTTAATTTTCTAATTTGAGATAATAAAAAAAGACTAAGAGAATCATTACACTCTTATTAAATCCAACTGACCCGCTATACTGACCAACACCCTAGTTATAGTGTCATTGACGGTAGTGACACTGCCAGTTACCATCGCCATGCCCGCTCCAGTGACATACTCCTCGAGCCATCCGGGTTCCTTCACTACCGTTAAGCCTAGTGACGCTGACGCCCGACCTAGTCACTGACGCCTCTACCTGTTCCCTATCTAGCACCCCCTCTAACCAGGACAATGTTAGGGCACTGGGCCGGATTGAGCCGATACAAAGAATATTTTTAGAAGAAAATTTATACAGAATTTTTTACACTCTCAGGGCCAAGGTTGGACCCCCTAGCTATGCCCCTGCCTCTACCCTTCCCAGCCACCTCTCCAGCCCTCTCCTCATCCCATCCCCATCCCCACCGGCCAACCTTAGTTGTAGTAACCGCCAGTCCTGTAACCCTAGCTGCGGTAGCCACCGATTTTGTAGTCCTAGCAACGGCCGACGATGACCCCATCTCTACTTTGAAACCCTACCTGCACCGTCGCCGCACCGCTGTGGGTTACATAAGCCTCAAATCGTCAGAAGAAGAAGAAGAAGAAGAGGAGGAGGAGGAGGAGGAGGAAGAGGAAGAGGAAGAGGAAGAGGAAGAGGAAGATTTATAGGCGGGGGCGGAAGAATTATAGGTGGGGGAGACGACCTAAAGGAGGAGATTGTGAGTGGTGCACATCAATAGGGTAGCAGCAACGTGAAGGTTGTTAAGAGCGGCAATTGAAAATAGGCGGTGGCAATTTTCAGTGGTGATGAGTGGCAAAGGCGGCTAGCGAAGGCGACGAGAAAAGGAGGCATCAGCTGGCGGAGACGATCGCTGGCGATGAGTGGTGATGAACGACGACGGTGAGGCTTTGGAGCGGCTATGCAGCATATTTGAGGAACTTCTATTGTTCACTGCTTATCTGAAGGAGAGAGAATAGTTAAGTGTGGATTGGGGTTATTTAGATGAGGGGTGTTTTTGGATATTTTTACTTGAACTGAAATTTTCCGATCTGGTCTGGTAAATGTCTGGTCTCTGTATTTTATAAATGTCTGATCTAGTCTGATTGGGTCTAGTTTGGGACTGAAAACAGTCCAAGTAAAAACATTTTTAATCTATGCATATATAATTAGTCTCTTTTTTTGTCTACATGAAAAGTGAGTACTTCATGTTATTTTTGTCCATTAAAAAACGGGTAGCATTAATTTTGTCATTATTTCAAATTAAAACTAGAGATGAAAATGAGAAAATAATTTTAATTCAGTAGATGATAAGGGAAGAGTAAGAAGATCATGGTGTTCTTGTTCATGTATGATGTGGTTGTTATTCATTCCGCATATAATCTTTTTATTATGTTACTTAAGACTTTAAGAGGTAAAAGGTGAATATAAATTTGATTACTCACAATGAACATGCTTTTAATACTCCGTATGTTTTTAATTCTATATATGTTTTTAATATATAGAATATACCGAGTATTTATAATTATACTAGAAACATATATATTGTTTTCTATATTCTTCTTTCAATTCCTTGGAGGATTTCAATGAGTGGTTCGTCTGGCCATCTGGGTATACGAGAGATAGAGAAAATATGATTATTTAAAAGAGGAAGTGTCCCACACTCCCACTGGTTGGTGCATCATAGTGTGTACATTCTTTTATCTAGTCATGGACCCGGTTCGGGGAACTTCGGGCCGCCCGGCCCGGGACCGGCCCGACCCGCTACTGTGCGGAACCGGAACCGGCCCGGTTCTCGGGTCCGGGTCGGGCCTAGGCTCGGTGGGGGGGCGGGTCCGGGCTCGGGCCTTGTATTTGGCGAACCGGCCCGGCCCGGCCGGGTCGGGCCCGGGTCCGGGCCGAATTGATTTTTTTTTTACATTTTTTGGAGTTACCCGGGTTGGGCTTGATGGTTAGGAGGGGTTTTGGGGGGTGAGGGGGGGTTAGGAAAGCAAAAAAAAATGACCAAACCGGAGGCCAGGCCCGGACCGGACCCGGTGGCTACCCGGGCCGGTCCCGGGTCTTCCTTCCCAAAAAAACCTGGCCGGGCCCGGCCCGGGTCCATGACTACTTTTATGATACCCGCTTTATTGTGGCATGTTAGCAAGAGGAATATTTAGATATTTTGTGGCATGTTAGCTTTTTTAATGTTTAATTAACCCTTCTAGAGAACCCTTTTAGAATTAATTAGCCCCTGCGTACTTGGTGAGCTTGTGCTCATTGTAAGGAAAAAGAATCATGTATGTTTCTTATTTACAAACATATTCAATTTTCTTCCAAAACCTCCATTTTGGAAGTGTGTGATACCTTAAGATGGAAGACAACTTTAAAAACACATTTCTCCTACATTGTTTTCCTACTCAAAGGGGAATGGAATAAAATCCCTTCCCTCTCCACACATTCCTTGAGAGCTAAAAACAATGAAAAGTAGCCTTCCAAGTGAAGATAAAGGGGGTAGACAATCTTACCACTTTTAAAAAAGAAGTATTTTTGGAATATCAACCTGCGTTTTTCAACAATTCATTTTACATTTTGTAGTGTCCAGCAGTCCAGGTGAATGGAGAGCAAATTACATTACATGTATAAGGAATGACCAAGTTTTGTGTCTTGTCATAAACCTTAAATAGTTAAATGTAGTATAGTAATTCTATTAGCATCATATAGCATGATACACCCCTTATAGAAGAGAAATGGAGATGGAAGAATGGAGAAAGAGGCAAATTAAACTAACCAGCCGCATGTCAATGTGTCATTCACAACATTTCATACTGCAGAGACTTCACTACTGCATATGAAAAGTTAAATATGATGCGGTTTATGCCCACATCTAAAATAAAATAAAATAAAAAACTAATTATCAACCACCCGCTGTTGGATGATTATCTTTGGGAGAAAATATTCATGTCTGAATAAATCCTATTATCTGAAAATACTACAAATGTCTAGTGAATGTGAATCCAAATTGTGGTAACTTCAAGCTGCTATCAGCATCAACAGTCAACACCATCAGATGGGGGAAAGTGAGTTCAATTAATCCAATATTTTACTATTCTGCCTTGTGCTTCTCGGTTTTCCTTTCCCTTGTCCGAGCAGTCATACGCCTACCCACAAACTTGAGAACCTCATCTATCAATATGACAGGCAACGCAACCGCTAACACAAGCAGCCACTCATTCAGGCTAAGCGGGACGATCCCAAACACTTGAGCAAGAAAAGGCACGTAAAGAATCAAGAAATGCAAGGCAAAGGAGACCGACATGGCCACTAGAAGCCAAGGATTGACCCAAGGTGGCATCGTCAAGAGGCTTCCATCCTCCGAAAGGGCATTCAGAGAATTAAACATTTCAATGGCTACTAATACGGAGAGGGAAAGTGTCATGGCCTTGATTTTACCCGTCTGGAAGTAATCACATGGGTTGTCGTCAAAACTGTACACCTGAGACCCTGCCGTGAACGGGGAGGCACTGAAATTCTTCCAAGAACTGCACTGCCCCCAGTTTGAGAGTTGGGAGTAGGTCACTAGGCTGTGCCCATCCCCACTTAGGTCAATTCCGAGGAAGGAATGATGGGTGAACCATATGATGAATACTCCAACTGTTGCAAGACCAACATAAGATCCAATCACCTGCATTCAGCAAAATTAAATGG